GATGCACTTAACAATGCATCGATGTATCCCTTTGAATGTGCATCGATGCATCCGCATGATGCACCGATGCATGCCTTGAATGTGCATCGATGCACAAGATCATGCATCGATGCATCGGTCGGGTTTTGGGTTAAAATGCTTCATTTTCTTCATTTTCTCAAAACATAAAAACCCCTATCTCAAAGCCGTTGTCTCTCTCTCTCTAAAATCTCCATTCTTGCTCAAAATCAACGATTTTTCGACGGAATTTTCAAGCTTTTCAACTCCCAAACCTGCTTCAATCATTAAATCGTGCAAAACAACTCCTCATCTCTCTCAATCCGAATTTTCAATGTATATTTCTAAAAATCTCTATTTTACAAATTTATGATTTTAGAACTAGTTTTAATTAGTTCTAGGATGTACATTATATCGGGCATTGATTGTTTATTGGTTCTAAACAAGATTTTACTGCCAATTTCTTCCAAAACAAACAATTTTTCAAAAAAAAAATAGTAAGATTTTTGATTTAATTGTTTTTGTTTTCATGAAAACTATATTATTATGATTATCAATTTTTTAATAGTTTTCAAAACATGCCCATTAGGATTGATTTAGAGAACCTTGAAATATTGAGGACTCAATTGAGTTTTGGGATTGATTGTGCATACATATGTTTTCAAATTGCAGGTAATATTCCTTATTCCGTTTCCTTTAATCATGTCTAATCCAAAACGTCCTAGAACTTCGTCTAGTCGTTCTCGTTCAAACCAACTGCCAAATCCCGTTCCTCCACCACCCACTAGTCTATTAGGTTCTTTTTTTAATATGCCTGAGCGTCGTAGAGACGAACTGTACTCTAGGTACAGAAATTCTTTCCAAACTTATAGAATTCGTGAAGAGCGTATTCCTTTGCTTCAAGCTATGGTTGACATCAATTTCGAATACCTCCCAATTCTTAAACAATGGAAGTTTGATAAACTTTTTTTTTCTTCAACCTATCGTTTTCCATCAATTAGTCCGCATTTTCTATTCCAATGCAGTCTGTATTCAAAATCAAACCCAATGTGGAACCATCGGAATTAGATCCTATCTTCTAGGACAGTACATTGTTGTTGATTCCGCAACTATTGCTTCTCATTTCGGGTTAGATGATGATGGTGTGTTTGACGAAAAAGAATCTGTGGCTTATCCCTATACTCCTAATGCTAGTGTCAGTACCCTTCGAACCCATCACGACCGTTTCCTTCATTTTATTATTTCTTGGTGGTTTCGTCCTTCTGCTGGTAGGTACTCTACTCTACGTGCTAGGGATTTATGGTGGATATATTGTATTAAAAATAAAATCAAAATAAATCTTCCACAGGTCATTTTTAGTCAACTAATAGACATCGTAAGCATTGTTCCTTTTAAACATGTTGAAACATTAGCCTACGGATGTCTACTTAGTAACATGTTTATCAAATTTGGTCTAGACGTTTCTCTCAACACTCCCATTCCTCTCCAAAATCAAATCAATCTCACTTCTTTAAAGAAAGCGGATTGGGTTCAAGATGAAATGCACCGGTTTTTGGGTCTTCCGACTAAATAAACAAACTCCGGGAGCTAGTTCTTCTCGTGCTCCTCCTCCTCCTCCAGCTGCGAATGTTGATCCCAAGCTTCAAGGGATATTTCAAGATATTGACGATCCAGCTAATGCACCGGAACTCGCTCGGCAAGAAGATCAAACACCACCTTATTTCCGATATTTTTTAGAGGCATTTGATCTACGATTTGCTTCCATGGAGTCTCAGATTACTGAGTTTCAGAGGGAGATGCGTGATCGTATGGATTATCTGACTCTTGAAGTTCGAGCTCATTATCCTTCTCCTCCCGATCCTCCGATGGAGTAGATTTGTATTTCTTGTCATGCTTTCTTAAAATTAAAACTTGGATTGATTTTGATATTTCTGGTTTCTTTGTTTTTGATACTTTGACTGGACTTATTTTATATTTATGGATGCTTGAACTTAATATATATATTTGGTTTGCTTAAATTTTCTTATTTTTGCATCATTAGACATATATGACCAATTATCCATTGCATGTTATATGAATATTGATTTATGAAACTAATGGCTAACCTCTCTTTTGATTGTGATCTTAGCAGCTTATAATTAATAAATCAATTGGCTTAAGTTTTTCAAAACATTCTTGTTTAAAACGTTTTATAGAGTCTTTTTGATTTAACAAAAAGGGGGAGAAGATGTGTGTCATAGTAAGGGGGAGTAATTTTTCAAAAGCTGATTTCAAAAATAATTTTCTAAATCTTAAAATTTCCCAATTGTTTTGTTATATAAAAAAGGGGGAGATTGTTAAAAACATTTTTGATATTTCGATATAACAAATTAAGTTAAATGAATTTTAAGATTTTTACAAATGATTTTACAATTTTATATTCGATTCAATTTATCGAATATCAAATTATTACTCCAAGTCTTTGAAGATCAATTTTAATCCTTACTAAATGTGTAAAATTGTGATTTGTACTTAAACTATTTTTGAAACAAATTTTCAAAGTATTTTAAACCAAAATCAAGCCTTAAATCAATTTTTCAAAGGCATGCACCGATGCATCAATACCATGCATCGATGCATCAATGAATAAATTGAAACATCGAATGCATTCCATGCACCGATGCACTCTCCATGCATCGATGCACTCTGATTTAATTAAAACATCGAATGCATTTGATGCATCGATGCACCAGGTTATTTTTCAAACATCGAATGCACTTCATGCATCGATGCACTCTTAGTGCACCGATGCACTAGGAGTCCAACGGTCAAAATATTTGAAATTTTACACTAATGCACCGATGCATAATGGTCATGCATCGATGCATGAGACGTTCCCACCCAGAAAATTAATTGTTTTCACACAATAACGGCTCTATTGACTCCACTAATTATCACCAACGTTCAGAATTGATTCAAGGAGTATTTAAACAAGTTTAGAAGCCATTGATCAATAACAAGAAACATCAAGCAATTAGAATCAAGAGAGAATCAAAGAGAAAGCATCAAACCTCAAGTTTGAGCATTTCAAGCCTATTTTTCATTCAATATTCATTTTGCTTTCAAGAACACTTATTGTGCTCAATTGTATTTATTCTTGAGTGTTCTTTCTTTGTTCTAGAATTGTGCAAACATATTTGCCTTGTGAGGTTTTTCTTGTAAGTTTGCAAATTTGTATTTCTCTTTGAGAAAATAGTGTTCTCAAGAATTGGGGTATATTCTTGAGGGAGTTGTAAGGTTATCTCTTTGGCCTCAAAAGAAAGAACAAATTAGTGAATTTGTTGGAAAATCCTTAGTGTGGATAGCTAAGGTAGTGGACGTAGACTTTGGTTGATAAAGTCGAACCACTCTAAATCGCTGTGCAATTTCTTTCAATTTTATGCAAAAGCTTCCACCAAATTTTTTATTGCCAATTCACCCCCCTCTTGGCCGATTTAGTCAATCGATTAACTCAACAATACATGTTTTATTTTATTAATATTTTTATACGATACATATATTATCTGTTTTATACGTTAAATATTTTATTTTATTTTATTTGGTTGCCTCACTAAGTGAAAACTTAGCATGTGAGTGTTTCAGACATAAGTGCAAGCTATAATGAGAAAATTGGGAGCACATCAGTATCCTTTTTGAGGAATCAATTCTGCCACCAGAATCGGTAAGTAAGGACATCCTGTCTATTAATTTATTTGGTAGAGTCATGTATATCAAAAAAGTTTATAGCTACTCTGATTCGACTTTCTTTAAGATATTTTTGTTTAAGTTATAAAGGTTTGGTTTTACAAAGGACATTATTAATTATGAATACTGATTTATTAAATCGTAATTATTTATTATAGAAACGATTTTCAAATCAGATTGTTTTCTGTCATTTTTTATTTAAAATATGTTACAATACAGATATACCTAAAATGTTATCTAAATTGAATTTAAATTTTGATATTTAAATATTAAATTATGATTTTGTGTGATTGTTAGTTTTAAAATAAAGAAATGCATTTTTAAAATAATTTAATTTTTTATATTTAAATATTAAATTATGATTTTGTACGATTGTTAGATTTAAAATAAATAAAAGCATTTTTGATATTTTAAAGAAATAAGTTTTTATTGGTTTTCAAATGGTAATGTTTCGTATAAATGATGTGACATCTTTAACTCGTACATGTGTACGTATATGGGTTAATGGTGTTACATTATCGCTTTAATTATCTTATTCGTAACCGTCATTAAAAAAATTCCTTAAATAACACATGTCACATTCTGACAATTTTAAAAATTTTATTTTTTTAAAAAAACTTTAAAATATCATTATTATATTTAAAAAAACTCTAAACTTTTCTATTTTACATAAAATACCCCACAATTCATAAAAATTTTATTCTAATATCCTCTACTCCGGTCGCTGGCCATCTCCGAACATCCATCTGTCGTCGAGCGATCATCCATTTGTTGTCAACCACCTAATGATCGACCATCATCATTGCTATCATCTCAAACCTCGAAATTCTCAAATTTTTAAATTTAAATCCCTAATTTCTAAAATCTTAAATGTAAAATCCCTAAAATTTAATAGTCCTTAATATAGAAAGAAACCTTAATGATCGACCATCATCATTGATCAATTTGTTAACGACCATCATCATTGATCAATTTGTTGTAGATTGGAAATTTGAAGGGTGTTGGGACGAAGGGCGTTCACGAGGGGACAAACAGTGAGGGGAATTATTTTAAGAAAAAATATTTTTTAAATAATATTATTTAAAAAAATTCAAAATTATTAGAACATGAAATGTATCATTTAATGATATTTTTAGCAACTGTTACAATTGGGATACCTAAAGTGATAACATTTATATCGCTAGAGGCTTAGATAAAGTGAATAAAAGTTTGAAAACCTATTTAATAAAAGTTGTATAGTTCTACTCACTTATTTTCTAACTAACCCATATTCTTTTAAAACAATATGTTTTCATTTGAAAACTCCGAAACTCCGAAAAGTACTCGATAAACTTTTTAGCGGTAGTTAAAATGAAAAAAAATAGTGGTTAATTTGTATCCTTTCTCAGTATCCTGCAATGGCTTTCCTCGGATCGCATCTAACCAGCGAGGTTGGAAGCCACCTTCTCTTTTCATCTTAATTTTTTGATTTATTTACTTTTTTTTTTCGTATGATCACTCTTTAGGATCTGTTTATGATAGAGCAATATATGTTTTAGCTGGAATTTCTTTAAACCTGAATAAATTTTGCATCCGAAACATTAGAAAGATCTACAGTCAGATTATGAATTGATTATTTTCTGTTTCTGTGAAAATCAGGGGTTAAATCTTTCGTTCTTGGATTAAAGCAGAAATGGGTTAGACAGATTTTAGTAGTTTTGATTTTTCTTAGTTATTACTCTGAGTTAATCTAGAGAATTTGACACATTTAAAAAAAATAAATAAATGATATGTTATCTCTCTCCTTTTTGTGGATTATGCATATTTTCTTTAACTATAGGGAATGGATTAAGTACCATTTCTTTGCCTAGATCAATGCTCATTGCTTTTGTAGAAATTTCATTTGAAATGTTTATTTTATAGAAAATGTTTATGTTTTTATTATTTGGTTTAAAGTATAGGCTTGAGTTTTGATTAATGAATAAAATGCCAGACTGGATTGAATTGATGGGATGTTGGTTTACAGTTCAATCGACCGGAATAGATTTAACAATAAATGCATTATTTTAATATCGAATAACTCATATTCCTTTAGGTCATGGCTTCTAGACCCACTAGAAGCACTCCCCTTCCTCTAGAGTCCTCCTTCCCCTCCCCTAGGATTAGGATTAGATTTAGAATTTGTCAAAAGAAAAAAAAATGGCCTCAAGATACTTAAGCACATGTGCATTGTTTTAATGTTGAATAGGTATTAAATATAGTAAATTTTAAACAAAAATAAATGACTCAAATCCAATCAATTAAAAAATGAAATTAATAAAATAAAGCCCTAAATCTGGTAACCAGTTTTCATTGGTTCAATTGGTTTGCTGAAAACCCAATTTACTGACATTTATTGAACTGCATAGGCCATTACTCTTGGTTCAATTAGTTTGATTAACCAGCCTAATCCATTTTTTTAACATGAAATTGGGCTAAGATCCTTTACAATCTAACTAAACGGCCATAAGGAGGACCATAGGGGTCCCTGGCCAAACTCTCTTTAATAGCTGTTGGAGCCTGGAACATCTGAAGAAAATGAAAATCAGAACTAGTATAATCCAAATTATTATTTACTGGTTTTGGTGCTTGTTACCTCTCTTTATGGATACATGTTTAACTTCCTTCTGAATCATTTGCATACCATGTAATGTAGGTTGGGTTACGGTTGCTCCTCTGGCCTCTTGGTTCCAACATTGTTACTCGAGCAGCATGGTGTATTTTTGAATCTAATGCTCGTCTCTGGTGTCTTGTTTGATATGTTTTCTGATTATTTTTCATTAATATGTGATAGAATATTGAGTGTAAAAGTTGATTACTCCTGCATCAACTGAAATCACACTTTGTGCATACCAATCTAATCTCTCTCTCTCTGTGTGTGTGTGTGTGTGTGTCTATCTCTATGTTGCAGCTGTTCTGTGGGAGTAGTTTTACCTGTATATTCTACATTTAGGGCAATTGAGAGGAACAATCGAAGGGAGGAGCAAAAGTGGCTTATATATTGGGCAGGTTGGCAAATTGTTATTTTTTTCACTTTTAATTTGCAATCCTCGCCATTTTGTTTAAATCTTGAGCTTTAACTGCATTGCCTTTACTATTTCATTTTCCCAACATTTGTCTTCCATATTCTTAAAGAAAAGTGCACTTGGTTGTTCCTGACATTGCTGTTTTATAAAAACTTGAAGCCCAAATGTTTCGTTTTTAAGATAGTTGGCTTGCAAAAATTGATTGTGCACAGCTTCGTAAGAGTGGATGCGATTTTCTTACCTCTTTCTGTTTTATAATTTGTAAGGGGGGGAGGGCATTAACAAATTCATGTAATAAATTAAATGAGTTGAATCACACTGGGAAATAAAAATGAAGGCACGGGCTGTAAAAGAGACTATTAACTAACACAAGGATGGAGGTAATCATTAGGATTTTGCTGTTCAATAATTCAAGGTTTGCTAACTGCTTTCCATTTTTCTTTTTGGCTTGTATTCTTTTTCAAATTTCTGTCATGACTCATGATGAAATGTTGAAGGCTTTGATTTATGCCACTGGTACTAGTATTAATTTGGATGAAAATCTGGCTGCACATGACCATTCTACCATTGCAGCTTATGGATCTTTCACCCTTGTTGAAACATTCTCTGACAAACTTCTTTCCTGGTAACATTTGACTTCTAGTGTTTTCATTCCTAACTATTTATGATTGTAAACTGTCTAATATTCCTTTATGCATCGTTTTACATGACTTGCTATAGTACTCGATATTTGTTCCATTTTTACAGGTTTCCATATTATTATCACTTCAAGTTTGCATTTCTTGTCTGGCTTCAACTTCCATCTACCGAAGTAAGTTCAAAATCTTGTTTGTATATTCGTTTGTTCTAAAATCCACGTTAATGAACATGCTGAGATGCTTCTTTCTTTTAATTTTTTTTTTTTGGAATTTTCTTCTTCTATATTTGTTTTTCTGCCTCCTCTTTGGACCTTCCCACAGCCACTTTATGGTTCTGAGGCATTCCTTCTTTTCATGTTTAGGATTCAACAAGGTTATGTATTAACTCTGTTTTTTTTTCACACTAGATGAGCAACTTTAGAACTTCCATTTTTAAGAACTTCCAAAAATAGGTTTCTTAGTGGTTTTTTCATATTAACTAATGCAAGACCTCTTTTTCATTTTTCCGGAGGGGATGAAGGTAGGGACAGACGCACTATTTTATGTCAGGGGGTTTAAACTTAAGAATTTATATTAGAAATTTGGAGGTATGAAACTACAAAATTTATGGTGGTGTGAAATTAGATCATCAATAGAAAATACACCGAAAATACCTAGACTATATGGGGATTTAAAATTTCAAGGGGTGCGACCGTATCACAATACCCTTTCGGTCCATCCTGGATGGAGGGGTGGAGGTGGAAGCATTGAAATAAAGCTAAAAGTAGTACATGTTTTTGTCCCACTTGTTTCGACTTACATTTTTTAAACCATGATCTAAATCCATATTTTTGGCGGCCATGATTCATGGTATGAAATTGATTTAACAGGGGGCTAAGCAAATCTACAAGAACCACCTGCGCCCTAAGTTGCTGAAACATCAAGCTAGAGTTGATCAACTAATGGGCTTTGCAAGTGCTGAGTTGGTAAGTTATCTCCCTTTATATTAACTTAGGCTATCTGCCCTTGGGTTGCCTATTAACATGTCACCCTCCAATTTCTAAAGACAGTTATTTGCACTTCTCATGCAGGCAAGATTCATCAGTGCACACCATAAAGAGTTTCAAATTTTCCGGGCGATAATGACAAAGATTATAGGATCGGGTTAGCGTGATACCACTTAAACCGCTACTTTATTTGCTTTTTTCTCTACTGTCATCTATATCATGTTAAAACTTAGTTACTACGGCAGTAGACGCAGAAGCCAGTGGAGGCACAGAACCTGCTGATCCAAGAGGGCTACCTGCAATTGACGGCCCAACAAACCCAGAATCTGAAGACGAAGACTACTAGTTTCTGATCCCCAAAGGAGAGAGATGTACGTTATAAACATCTTTTTCTCAGGTTAAATTCTTCTATGTTATAAATTTATCGTTTAATGTCCTCCAAGAGGTAGAAGCATGAGACATAGGCGGCATCCTTATAATAAAAATTGCACCTCATTTTTCTCCATCTCTCATGCTATAAGAATTATTAGCTACTAAAACGTATAATAGCGCTAAGTTACGGATATCTTTCATTTTTAATAGTTTCAGTTTTTATTATTATTTTGTTTTCTTTTTCAAATTTCCTGAGTTTTTAAGATTTTTTTATTTTTATTTTTACATATTTTTAGTTTTTTAATCACATTGATGATGGAGATTTGATGTGGCGATGCTTTTATTTATTGTTTATTGCAACCGAAATGACGAAATTAAAAGTTTAATGCTGATATATGGGGTTTGGTTTACTTTAGCTTTCATTTCTTGCTGAGATGAATGGATTGAAGAGTTGAGGAGGTGAATGTTTTTCTGAAAGTTTGAAATTTTCATATATTCAAATTCATACTTTTCCATTTATAAATTGCTCCAAACAAAAATAGAATGAAGATGAGCCCAGGTTCGATTCCTTAATCATATGGTTTCTAATAAATAAACAAAGAATTCATTACAAGTTCAATGACAAGCCCTGGAAATGGATACATTTAACAAGCCATGAACCACTGTATCTACCTCGTACACGCGTATATCTCCTCTTTTCAGTAAGTTATCCCTTGCAAATTCGATCCAACCCCTCGTGAATTTAGCTTGCTGACATTGCCGGTTGCTCATTATCTTCACAGGACACCATCTATCTTCAACCTTAAGTCTCACCTTTTCGCTATCCGGCGTTAAATATTGCTCAAAAATCGCAAACGGTATGCCCTGCACAAACCAGTTTTCCAGCATACTGTTATTGTGGGGTTAAGGGCGTAAAATAATGAACTGTAACATATAACTTAATAAGCCCACCAAACGTTTTTCCTTTAGGTGTACTGGCAGCACAACTCTTTTGAACAATGGAGACCTCGAGGTTGAGGCCATATCTATATCGGCTTTATGACGCTGTGGAGTCCAGCATAAAGGTCCTGCACCAGAACCATTAGCCTGTATAAGTTAATCCGTGTTCGATATTTACATTCGGAGTCCGATTAACGCAATTTAAAACGCACCTTTTGCATCTGCAATGGCCTGGAATATGTTGTCGTCAACGAATGCCCTCCATCCATCATGTATTCTTACTTTTGGACTTCCTATGTTACTTCTCTGATAAAGAATTGCCGGCCATGATTTCCTGTTCGAAAGACAGGTTTACATTGATGCTGGTGACGGAGCTCTCGAAATGTATCCTGGAAAAGGGTTTTGGTATACGCTGGCCCAAAAACAAAATGCATAACAGTTGGTTTAAAGGCTGGATTCCCATACTCACGCCGTGTTTAAATGAAGAAAAACTAACCAATAAATGGTTCATATATGATGCTAGTAAAACAACAAAGTAAGGATTCTCAGAAGTGAAAGCCAGAGCTTTCTGAAGAGCTGTTTCCTGGGCTATCAATGTGCTTCCGAAAGCTGTTTCACTGCCCTCCAGGGAGGAACATCAGTAAAAGCTTGTGGTCCATGAAAATATGACTTCTTACATTTGAAAATGAAAACTTTGAATGAGATTTCTTTGCCATTAATTAACTCGAAGGCGCAAACATCACCGACTTGTATGGTCTTATCTCGTACAAAAGCACCCCATCCATTTCAGAGTCTCACATATGCCCGTCCATTACTTCCAAATGTCGACATGTACTCGGCTGCCCAAGTTTTCCCATCAGAATCACAGAGAACAACATCGCCATTGTCCTTGAGATATAACCTGGAAAACTCTTTTGGTATTCCCTGCACAAATGTAGCATAAAACACGAGATAAACTTAGAAAAAATAACACTAACACAGTGGCAACATTGAAATCTAGCATAGCTTTAGTAACTTACCACTGAACAGCTATGGTTGGTAATAGGACCTACATAACTTGGTTGCATGAAAACCCAAAATAATGGATTTGTGGACTTGAAGGCATGGCTAACTGTTTGTAAAGCCATATATTTTTCATCAGATGTCACCCTGCACATCGTGCTCAATATCGTTGCACTCGTTCCAGCCGAAGACCCTGCAGACATAGGTTTGACCTTGGGAACATTTGGTCTCATCATCTTATGAGGCCAAGGACATTTGGTTGTCGGACTCTTCAACCTTCACTTCTTGCTCAACGTCTGGATATTCGATCTCCGTTGCTGTTCGATCGAATATGATGACATGGAAATGGCAGCCCCCTTCATATCTGAAAACCAAGAAATGTCCAGGCTCCACCGAGTAGTGCTTTGCAAAGTTTAGCCAACCATTTCGAAACCACATTTTGCCACCACATTTTACCAATTCCACTTGGGACCCTAATGAACACTGGGTTTGATAGAGAATTCCCATAATCTCTTGCAAATTTAGCAGGAATCCCCTGTTTGACCAAACTGCAGACGTTAGCAAATGGCAAAAACCCAGATTCTCATTGAACTTAGACAAAATAAAAATCTTTCAGAAAGAAAACACAGAGACAAGTTTGCCACTCCGAGTAGTATCTTCAAGAACTACCTTAAAGAAATGGTGTGGCTGATGGAGATGAGAAGCCATTGTTGAAGAAATCAACAGTGAGCAGAGCTTTGAAAAGTGAAGTCAAACAAGTTCCAAGCTATGGTCTTCTTCAAAAGTGGTCCAACAATCAATTAATTTCCTTGTTTCGATTGGTTCAAGAGAGAAAGAGAGGGAGACCAGTCCACCAAGTACTCTCATTTGGCATGCGGATGAATTACATCGCTCACCCTCTGTCAGTAATTCATCCAAATGTCCATAAGGTATGATCTCCATGAAAAATAAAGTTTTTTTAAACAATTTTGGCATAGAAGAAAGTAAGCATTCGTCTTTTTTTGGTTTTTCCAGAAAAATGGGAAACATAAGTCGATGGATATGGCCCAATCTTTGATAATTACTCGTTAGAAAAGAGAATCTATCAGGCTCTCGAATTGGTTAGCCTTTAAATTATGATTAATACATCCAATTTCTTGGTGTGGCTTTGCATCATACAGCAATCAGTGAAGGATGCCATCGATCGATTTGAGTCTTGATTTGAATTACATCTGCAATCCTTTCCCTGAAATTAGCAGATCGCTTCGGGTCTTACATCTGCAATCCTTTCCCTGTAATTAGCAGCACGAAACAAATGTGTTCTACTCACCAGCACCTGCCCTGGAGGTTTCCCAACACTTCCATGCACTGTAATTTGACACCAAAACATAACATAGACGAAGTCTAGCAGGAAAACCACTAAAGTTTGTCTTTCTACAACAAATTCACAAATCAGAATTGAACTGCAGATGATAAACTTAGCGTTCTCTTTCTACAAAGGAAAATTGAGATGTGTATCAACCTAGAGCAGAATTCTAAGCTATGTTACACCAGCTCTTCATTTTCCTTGAAATGCAAATATCCGAAACATATATCAATGTAGGTATAGGTATTTGATTCACCAATAACCTACCAAATACATATAAAAAAAACGTAGAACAAATCGAACATAGATTCTAAGTGGTAATAGTTCTGTTCTTGTACACTGCTTTGAGGTCACAGTAACATCCAAAATGGTACATATTTCTGAAACTAACTGTACGAGAGCAAGCCCAAATGAGAGAAAAATTCAAGCAACGATAAGCATGAGTTGACATGAGCATGGAATGCATATATGAGTACCTCCAAATCCTCTCCAGGGACTTCTGAATCTTCCGGTCAGACTCCCGGATTATTTAGCAAAATGATTTTGAATTGCTAAATTTCACAAGTTATGTCTCAGATTCTTCTTCTGCGACCGTTGGAAGTGTACCCTCTCTGATGAATTCTGGGTTAAGGAACTTTGCCACAAAGGCCCACAACTTATAGACATCCTCGAAATTAGTAAGGAAGCCGAGTGATGCTGTAACGACTTCAACTCTAACGAACCCACTTTTCCTGTTATTTCGACCATTTTCCATCGGTCTGCACAGCGTTGTATCCTCAAGGTTTGAAACCACTCGTCGGGAACTATCTAATATTCGTATGTGACTGAGGATACCTATACCAAGAGAGATACCTTCTCTGTCAGCCAACTTTTGTACAATCTCCGGATTAATGAGTCCCCGGTTTCGATCCCTCACATTGAAAGCCACTGCTGCACCCCTTTCATACTTTATTTTTGGGCCATATATGTGAACAAGATTCGCCCTTCCATCTCCATCTGAATTAGATAATCTGAGCTGCAGTAACGAGGTTACAAGCCAATTAATCAAAAATCGTAATCTAAGAGTGGTTTTATTGAGCCCTAACATGTAAATGTGATCAAGATGCCGACAAGATATCTCCGGCTCCCTCCTGTCCCAATCTTGTCCATCACCATATTCTCCATCGCTGGTGTATTCTTCATTATCAAGGCTGATCCCAGATGCTTCTCCTGGCTCCAAAGTACAACTCGTGTTCCCTTTACGACTATCCTCTATGCTAAAGGAGACCCTTCTTCCCCTACTAGGATGTTCATCTTCTAACCCGAAAAATCTACCACCATTATACTTATTTCCTTCCCTCCTCCCCAGTAACCTAAATTCACCTTCAGTTTCTCTTCTAATGGCACTGTCTTTAATCTCCGAGGTAATTTCCGATGTTGAGCCATTTGCTAGGCCATTATTCCGAAAGACAGAAGAATTAGATACAGACTCCACAGCCAGTGATTTGCTGGTATCCTGTTCTTCCTGGATTTCCAGAAGATGTGAACGATCCAAAGCCTTCTTATGAGTTCCTGCAAATTGTGCTTCACCGGGGATCTCCTTCATGCAGTCCAGTTCCTGTGAAACTGATCGAACAGCAGCATCAAATGATAACACATGCTGATCATCACGCCCCAGGTGAAGATCTTTTTCATCATATATCGGGCTGCTATATATTGTTGATGTTGGCTTTGGAGAGAGCTGCTTGTGGTTGTTCCTGCCACTAAACCAAAACGGTGGCAACGGGGAGGATATTTTCTGCTTATTCAAATGACCTGCACTGTCAGACCCCAATGGACTCTGACCCAAATCAATCCAGAATGAGTTGTCCAATGACTCATCTTCACTGAAGATGGGGCTTTTCATCACTTCCCCAACAGAAATACTCTCGCTTTCTTCAAATATGGTGCTTGTACCATCTCTGTCAGTACTATTATCTTGATCCATTTCCGTCTCAAATACATCCCGAACTTGAGCAGATGTGAACGCACCAGAAAAGGCAGGCAGCTGCGTTCCTGGACGGTTTTCTGAGGGCTTATCATCATTCACACCAACTTCATTTTCCTCGATTCCACCCAACCCATCAAGATCATCTACAGAATCACTCATATAGAGAGGGTACTCGGGGGTAATCTTCACCATTCCAGAACCGGTCGATCCAGATTGGTTCTGAAGGCTTCCCATAACTGATTTTTTAATAAGAAGGCATCCAAATCCAGTTGGATCATATCCAAACACTCTGTAGAATGATGTGATAATGAAATCCGGACGAAACAAAGACAGGCCGAGTGAATCCATGTCTTTGGGGCCCAATGAACCAGCATCAAGCAAGACGTGCCAATTGTTCTGCTGAGCCAATGCCATCCACTGGTAAGTATACTTAGACCCCGTTACTCTAGACTGCACCGGAAAAACAAAAAGACCAGTAGCACAATCCTTCTTCCTCTTCTTTTTATTCGAAATCCGCTTTCTCAAATCAGTGGAGCAAAGTTTAAGAGTTGGCCATTTAAACCAAGAACTGTAAACTTTTGCACCCTTTTCCCTGGCACTCTGAACCATCCAATTTACGGACTGACTCTCGTAATCAAACATTGTCAACAACTTCTTATTCGTTTGAAATGGATATGAATCGGCCAGCAACTTAAAGGCAGACCCTCGACTTACAGTAAACACAAGGCCATATTCATGTTCAGGAATGTTCAAGTGATCCATTATCCTACTCTTTATATCATACTCCACAGTGCCTTTCTCAGCACCACCATAAAGTGCATGATTACACAAATTTGCAGTAATCTCAGACAAGCTAAACGTTGAGGATTCCCAGTAATGCAAAGTTTGAACATAAGAGAAAAGCCCGAATCCGCAATAATCAAGGCATACCTTGGGTGACAAATGTGAATACTCATTTTCCCTCAATTGATCAATCTTCTCTGATGATTGGTACTTTGGGTACATTGTGAGGAACTTGCTGAATACCTCATGGACATCAGGGATGGAATCTTCGCTCTCGAATGTGCGCTCTGCGGCGAGGGCGGTGGCTCGCAAGAATTCGCGCTGCACATTGAGTCTTGCGAGGGATCTCGATCGTCCCAAGCTCTCATCTTGATAGGCTAGTGAATCGGGGTCGATGTCCTGGGACTTGAACAAAGACCCTTCTTCAGAAGCCTCTTCCAGAGCTTCCCTGAGCTTGCTTTCATGGAGTTTACGGAGAATTGAAGGGTTCTTCCTGGTTTCAGCAGCTGATTCAGACCCATCCCTTCTCTTTCCCTTCTTGTCTAAGATCAGAGAAGCACAGTGAGCTACGGGTTTCCACAGTGAAAAATGCATCGAAGCTGCAAATTTGAGACAGACAGGCTCAAGATTCAGCACAAAAAAAGAAAGGGTTTTTATTTTTCAACACATCTGACAAAAAACCCAAATCTTTTTTCAACTAAGTGGGTTCAATTTGCGAACTTTAAGCGTTGGATTCAGATCAAAGAAAGCCCTAAATTCGGCCAAAAGGGATTCAGTCGAGAGAGTCATTTCAAATCCACAAAAAGGAAACTAATACAGAGGCAAAACCCACAGAAAAGAAGCCATATTTGGAAGTCAAAAGCCAATTTTTGAAGAAGATTACAAGAAGAAAGACAAAGGCTAGTGAGTCAAAGGCTAAACACACAAGAACCACGAGGATTAACAGTTACAAAGCTTCAACCCAAAATCCATAGCTTTTCATTTAACAAGAGGAAAGAGTTGGGTTTTTCTCTGTGTTTCTCTCTCTTAATTGCAACATAAACCAAACCAACTCCTTTACATCAAATGCGCAATCAATAGAATTTATAATTTGATATTTCTCTTTCATTGACTCCTCCAAGAGGTCCCTCTTAACAAACAGTCAGAACGGAGATAGATTTCATATATCAAATTAAATAGTGCTTCTTACTGTATCCATATTTTATCTATATCTATTCTTTAAATTAAACTGTCCAATTCCATGTTTTTTTTTCGTAGAAAAGATAAAGCTTTTTCCTTGCATTGTCTACGCTAAAAGTCGAACAATCAGCTGGCTTGTAAAAGCTGTTTTCTGTCGAGCTAGGCAACAAAATTGAATTAAAAGTTTATTATATTATTATGGGGGAAGTCTCACATGCAGAGTCTAATATACTATTCATAAAATATATTATCAAAAATATTATTATTTTTTTAATATTTTCGATAAAAAATTATCTAAAAAATTATTATTTTTATCAAAAATATTATTAATGGATTCTTTACCGAGTTTGTTAATATATTCTGTAGAGCGTTATCTAAAATATTATTTTTTTTATCGAAAATGTTAAAAAAAATTAATATTTTATGTAAAAAAAATAAGCTTTTAGATAATTTTTTATCGAAAATGTTAAAAAAATAATAATATTTCCAATAACGTATTTTTTTATCCGTATATTAAGACTATCATACATCATAACTTCTCATATTATTATCGATAATATAAAGTATTAATATCTTATTTTTTTTCTTATATTTATTTTAATAATCGTTATTGATAAATTTATTTTGTACTATTATTTCTTTCAATCGTCTTAATGCAATTTTGTTTTTTATTTAAGCTTAAATTTTAAAAAGGATTAAATTTTTTATTTTACATTGGAGATGAAGACTCCTAAGAGTCTCAATCCCCGTCCTTAGTTTTAATATGTTAAACCATATTCAACTAAACAAGTAAAAATAGTCTTTAGGATTAATTAGTATATTATTTACTAGAAAGCTTTTTTTATTTAACATAAAAAATATTTTTATTTAATTTTTAATGTACAAAATGAATTTATCGTATAAATGGGTTTTTTAAATAAATTAAAATCCTATTAAAAACATTAATTTTTTTATTAATGTGATTATCGATTATTTAAAATTAAAGGTTCACACTCTAATATTCTACTCGAAGTAAAAATCTCAAAATATAATAATAATTCTGTTTTGAATAAGATTTCTTGATTGGCGCGGTTGAAAAACACCGCAAAACCGGAATCACTGCAATTTTACCAAGCTTTATGAACCTCATTGCAGGTAGCATTTAATGAATGTATCCAATTATGAAACCCTTATTAAATATGTTAGTTGTAGTGGGCCTAAAAAGATTTCACATTTAATTTTTTTACTAAAATTCACATGTAAAATTTGTAAAAAGGAAAGTATAACATTAAATACCTATGAGTAATATATTTGATGGTGGATAATCGTGAGCAATTTAATCCTTTTTGATCTAGATCGAAAGTTATAGGAGTTGAGGAAATAATCGTTGACTGATGTTTTATATTAGAGAGAGTCGATAATGGGAATGAAGAAGATAATGTAGAGATCATGAAGATTTCATCTTTTTTTGGGTCATGGTTGGAAGTATTTATAATAGTTTTTAATGTTAACATGATTATTTATAGGTCGGAAAATTTGGTGGACATGATAGATTAACATTAGATCTCGTTTTAGTGCACATGTGAGCTTATTAATGGTGTTTTCTATGTGTTATAGTTGACTAAAAATCTGTATTAAGTGATTGTAAGTTAATTGAAAACCTTAATGAATAGAAAAATGACGATTTGATGAATCTAATTTAACAAAAGATTAAAAAAATTCAATATCGTCTTCGAAAATATAATAATCCTATATTTACATGTTTACTAACAATTGAAGTATAATCATCATGGATTCCACAGACAAGTTATGGGGACCACTTTACGAATTATCCAAATTTTAATTAACTTTATAATATTAAAGTTGAAGCCAATATCTAATCCATGCGTTGCGCATATAATAATGGAGAAGAAAAATATTTATTTATTTATTTATTTATTTATTTATGATACATTAAAAATGTTATTGAAAATGTACCATACTTACTAAAACATATCAAATACTTTCAAAAATAAATATAATAAGTAATGTTATTTAATTAATCATGTATAAAATTTCATGTTATCACTGGATCTTTAATTGTTTTTTTAAAAAAAGGTGGAGCTTTAAAAAATGAGTTGAAAACGTGATACTAAATATGTTGTAAGATTATTATTCTGAACAAAAAATTTACAAAGGAAAATTAAATGTTATTATGTCTCTTTATATAAAGAGAATATTAGAAAATCTAACCATAAAATTATATATATATATATATATTAATATGAATAGTAAAATTTTAAATATTATTAACATAACCCTAAAACATTTTAATACGTTGACAACTTAATTATGAATAGGATTTATAGAGCTAATTTGATGATAAATCATTGTGAATAAGCCAAAAAGAAGGGTACAATATATAGGCCATTGTCTTTGGATTCCTTAAGGTCAATGCACAAAACCCAATAACATGCCCAAAAGTAAAAGGCCAATTAGAGTTTACTTTTCTTTGCCGCTAAATTTTGGAATTTGCTGGCTCTCTTCATTGAGGCTAAATTAGGTGTTTTAATTTTATAGTGGGTTTGGTTCACGGAATGTAAGATTACTAACGAGAATATGATTACTGGCGGGAATAAAATTACTAGGAATGTTGTATTTTGTGTTTGGTTCGTTTAGCATGAATGTGAGATTACAGTGTTTGGTTAAATAAATAAAAGATTATTGGAATGTATATTTTACCAAATTATCCTTATTATATATTTTTTTTAGCAAGTTGAATTCTACTATAATTCTACTATAATTAATTTATATATTTTCTTTAAAAATTTATAATTTTTTTTTACAAAATTGAAAAAATAAATAAGTTTAATGAAAGGGTAAAATTTTATTTTAACCCCTGAACTTCATATAAAATTATAATTATGGATTTTTTTTGTAAATATAAAATAGTTTAAGGATAAATTCATAATTTAATTTTCGTATATTTTTTTTATTCAACGACAGAAGAAAGATATTTTTGAAAAAAAATTAAGGGCATTTTAGTCCAAAACGCTGGGAATGTAACAATACCTAAGGGAATGATGTAATCACATTCCCAGTAATATACCCCAAAAATACCACTGTCGGGAATAAAGGATTACCGGATGTTGGGAATGTTTGTCAACCAAACGGGGGAATGACATTCTATTGAAAACATTTTGATGTTTCGATATAACAAATTAAGTGTTAATGAATTTTAAGATTTTATATTGAATTTTAAATTATATATTTGATTAAATTATTCGAATATCAAAATATTACTCCAAGTTTTTCAAATGTCAATTTCAATCATTAATCAAGTGTAAGATTATGTTTTAATCTTAAAATATATTTTTAAACAAATTTTACAAAGTATTTCGAGCCTTAATCGAGCCAAAAATATTTTCTTTTTAAAGGGCTTCAAGAAAAACTATATTGCTCAAAGGGAACAGATTCCCCCAAGGGGTACCGATTCCCCGAGAATATATTCTCCCCCCAGGGGGTACCGATTCCTCCCTGTGTAACGATCGAAATATTTGAATTTTACACTATAGGAACCGATTCCCTATGAGGGGGTATCGATTCCCCCCCATGCTCCAAGCTATTTTATTAATTGATTCTCATCCCCAAACGTCTCCAAAACATCCCCAATGGTTATATACGACTTCAAACACATTCCAAGCTATAAATACAAGCTAAGGACACTTGAAGAAGGAAGAGAACAACTATCCAAGCAATCAAACACAAGAGAAGAGTTTTTCATTCTTATTTCATATTTCTCTTGTAAATATTTTGTTTTTGTGAGCTTAATTCTTGTAAACAAGTACCTTAGAGAGGTTTTATTGTTTATATTTCTTATCCTTTTGTAAAGGGGAAAGGTTCTAGTTCAGCCTGGAAAAACTAGGGAGTTGTAAGGTTATCTCTTTGTCCTCAAAAGAAAGAACAAATTAGTGAATTTGTTGGAAAATCCTTGGTGGGAGCTAAGGTAGTAGACGTAGACTTTGGTTGAGAAAGTCAAACCACTATAAATCGCTGTGCAATTCCCTATCTTTCAATCTTCTTACTCCCTAAACACAAAACCGTTCCGACTCCTCTTTGCAAACCATTCTGGTTATCGATTTGAGCTTCCAAAATTCCCAACAATTGGCATCAGAGCCTCACTCATTTGAAGGTTTAACCACCTCTTGAGTCGATTCGGGAAGAGTTAAATTGATAAAGATGGAGTCCACTACTGGTTCATTCTCCATGGAAGAATCCAGACCAATTGACGTGCCTCCACACTTCAATAGAACAAATTATTGTCGTTGGAAGAAGTTTATGATGATATTTATTCAAGCATTTGAAATAGAAGCTTGGATGATGATCGAGAAAGGATATTCTTCTCCTTCGAAGAAGGCAATGAAGTGGAGTAATCAATAATGGAAGAAAGCTCAACAAAATACAAAGGTTGTGCACATGTTGTGCTGTGCAATTGATCCTAATGTATATAAAGGAGTTTCTTATTGTTCAAATGCACAGGAGATGTGGGATAAGCTTGAGGAGATCTATAGAGACAAGGAAGAAGAATAACCAATAAAGGTGATGTCTCTATTAGCTCTCACAGAGCCAAAAGTATCTTCTAACTCAAATAGATTAAATTCAAAATCTTTTAATGAGTTACAAGATGCTTATGATGAATTATTTTTGGAGTTTGAGACCATGAACTCCAAATACAATAAATTGATTTCTAAATTTATAGCTAAAAATGATCTTCTTTTGAAAGCTAAAACAGATTTAGAAAATCAAAATGAAAATGTTGAGAATGGAGTTA